GCTCGTAGAAATAGAAAGAACAGTGCGGAATTGTTGAATTCGCCGAAAATCGTATCGCAGGAATCTAACGATGTGGACGATCCTAAAAGTCCACCTAAAAATAAGAGAAAAGCACCGGCACCGCCAAAAACCAATAGTTCCAACAACGAGCCAGATGTTGTAACACCGGTCAAAAAAATCCCAACACCGACTAGATCACAGCACGATCTCGAAAAGGAGGACGCGATCGATAGCATCGCGGATTATACCGAATCTCTAAACGATTACGTAAACAAGGTGAAAGACACTACGGATGAAACTGAAGTACGTAGATCGAGACTGGAAAGTCATATCGTTCATAGAAGAAATTCGGAATCGGATACGGACAGCGAGGTTCAGAATAGTTTTACAACTATCGAGTTGAATTCAGCCGATATTACGATTCATCGTACTCCGGTACCCGAGGTGAACGACGACGAGGAGGATGACGTTTATAGGAAAGCTGCGAGTCTAGGAGATTTGTCAAAGTACGAGAGTAAAACGTCGACTCCGTTGGAAAGGGCTCAGAGTCTCGATATGACAGACACTGGCTCAAAAAAAAGAAAGGCTCCATTACCACCCGAAGACATAAACGAGTCTACCGAAGATCTTACCAAGCTTGATCAAATGGATACGTTTGATAAATGCAAATTGAAGAAGTCTAACGAGTGGGGTACTTTAGAAGACGTCCTTTGGAACAAGGAAGATGAGGACGAGAGATCGAAAAAGCCGCGAATGCGTAAAAAGAGTAACAGCACTTTGGAAAGATCTAAATCTGCTGTAGAAATCAAACTGAAAGACGAAGTACTCTCACCGGTAGCTAATGATAGATTGGATACCATTGAGGCTGATGATAATGAAACGAGCATCGAGTTGTATAATTTACCTTTGAGCAAACGTCTAACACAAGAATTTATACACGCGGAAAGAATGTTTAATCCAGACGAGGATAATTCCTTGGCTAGAATCGTGAACGACGGTACGGTTGTTAAGAGCCCAACGATGGAAGAGATGGAATTAGATTTCAGGCAAGCCAAACCATTGCCGAGCGAAGATGATGAAGACGACGCGGCGATTGCCATCACCGAGGAAAATGATTACGGTAGTCCCGTTAACGAGGATTTCAGTAGAGCCTTGCGTTATTTCGAGATGCATGCCAGCAAATCACCGACCAATTCTAACGAGTCTACGAAAGTTAATTTAACGCGTTTGGACGAATGGAGAGAAGAGAGTTTACGTTTGTCTAACGACGCGACTCTTTACGTTGGTAAAAAAGTAGTCGTCGAGGAACCAATGGCTAAGATTATACTCGATAAGAAGTGTCGTGGTTGCGAGGAAAAATATGGACAGCACGAGCACAATTGTAAAAGACGTTCTCTTGAATCTGTTCAAGATAATAAAAGGTATCACAGTAATGATTCTCAAGAACATAGCAGACAATCAACTCCAGAAAACAAGAGTTTCGAATCTGTTTATTCTAGCAACGTAAAAGACATAAATGTTGGACGATCATCCACCCCAACCCATTCCAAAGTAAACTCTTTCAAATTGGATGCAGACATCTCGAAAACTCAAGATCAACTCAAATCCAACAACGAGTTCAATGTTGAGCATAGAGAAAATTCTGTCTCAAGTTTTCATGCAAATAGGTCGAAATTCGAAGAAAAATCTGATCAACGTGAAAGATATTCGCCGGTAAAATCAAAATCTCCTACGGAATCATTACTCGAGTCGCACTTTGCAAAACGTAACGTAGGTGTATCTAATAACAAGGAACAAGAGCGAGAAGATAATCGTAACCATGATAATGAAGAAGAAGAAGAAGAAGAAGTAGAAGAGGAAATAGAAGAGGAAGATGAGTATGAGTTTGGATCTAATGTAACTGTCAATAGTAAGAACTTCTCTCCAAATAACGATAGACATAATATAAGCAACGTAAGTGTGTCCAGTGGAGAAAACAGTGAAGACAGTGGACTCGTTAGGGAATCCATTGATTATAATTCGCAAGAATCTGAAAGTCGTCCACCATTACCGAGTACTCCGATGCCAAATAATTCACAGAAGATGACGTATATCACAGAAATCAAGGTCTCAGCTAACAGAGACAATATTCGTGACCGTGATAACGAAACTGAAGATGTACAAGCTGTCACAAGTAATAACAGTGAGGCTAAAAAATTAACCCATCACGAAATCACGGTAACGTCCAACGGAAAACCAAATTCAGGAAAGAAACCACCAGTTCCTCCTAGAAGATCGGATATTACGAAAATGGTTAAAGATGATAAGACGGAAAAGAACGTAGTTTATGTATCGGAATACAAATCTATGACTGGCAAAGATCCACAAATTTCTGATACCAATCTTTCTGACGAGAAACAATCGGAAAATAATAAAAAGTTTGAACATTGGATTTTCCTTGGTGATAATAAGGATCAAAATCGATGGGGTAATGGTAGTAGCCAACCGCAGTCTGTTACAAATATTATGTTATCTTCTGGAGATGATAAGATGTTAAATCAATGAGTGAGGAGAGCGAAAAATAGAGAGAGAGAGAGAGAGAGAGAGAGAGAGAAAGAGAGAGGGAAGAAGATAATTTTAAAGCATTTTTTTTTTTTAATGTTTTAAGTCATACAATAATAATCCAGAATTGGATTGTCGTGTAAAAATATGTAAGTAAAGATAAAAACAAATCTGACGATACTATTAATTAGTTTTTCTCGGTAAAAAAGAAATAATGGTCATTGAAATATTATCCGATGGTGCCTGTACTCCAAACGTTTATCTGACAACAACAACAACAACAAAAACAGAAGTATACTCAGGAATGCGTATATCTGAAAATAATACTTTAGATGAGAACCGAGAATAAACTGGTGGTGTCAGAATATCGATAAATAATATTTCAACTTGATCAAGTATATTTTTGTATTTAAATAATATTAAGTCACGAGATGAATGACAAACGTCATTTAAGATTCTTCATTTTATATGATGTTTATTGTCACCAATTTCTTTACGAATAATGCTCGAGTTAAATGTTTTCAAATAATCATTGCAAAAATGATCATCAATGAAAATGATTTGAACGTAACATTTAAAAAATTGAAATTCCTTAGAATCGAAATACAACAAAAATGGCGCGAAGAAATAGAGTCGTTTGTTTGTAAAAAAGAAAGAAAGAAAAAAAAACCAAAAAAAAAAAATAAAAGAGGGAAAAAAAGTTAACACACGCACAGTTTTAACATTTTATTTCTGATAGTATTCGTAGTATTAATTCTTTCGTTGTAGCATAATTTGGTTCGCATATGGATCGATCGGTCAGTCAACCTTTCCTCCGATGCTTTTGCCAAAGCTATCCATATTTGGGTTGCTAGTAACGAAAGGGTTAAATAATTTTAGTCTTTTATTTTTTTTATTTTTTGTCTTAACATATTAGTCATAACTTTTATTTATTGACCAATTTATAAAAGGAAATATACGATGGAAAGGACTTTGAACTTTGATGAAATATATTTTACAGAATATTCGGCACACAAAAAAAAGAAAATAAAATGCATGAAAATAAATAATTAACGTCATGTGCCATAAGTGATCATGTATGTGGCAATGAATAAAGAGGAGATTAAAATTGAAAATATTATTAACAAAAATAAATGCAAAAAAAATGGTGCGCGAATGAAAAGGAAAAAAATTGCACAAATTGTTGATATAAAATTGTTTGTTAAGTATTATTATTATTATTATTATTATTATTATTATTATATTGTGTAAATATATAGTATCGTTTATAATTTTAAATGAATCTATTTTTGTAAGAATTTAGTAACATATTTGTATGTAATCAAATCTTTTACGTTTCCTATACACGTGTATTTTTTGCCTATGCAAGTTTTAAACGTTATGAACAAAGTGAAATATAGAAAAGGATTATCTGTGTAAGTAAGATACAGCGATTTGTACAGTTATTATTATTTTCAATTTTGGTGTGTGTAATGGGGTTTCTAGATTGATTAAGTTTCATTAGAATTTTTAACTTGATCGATTGATCGATTTTTTTTTTAAATATCTTATTTAGTTGCAAAATCATATATTATCTGCTGCAAGAAGTATATCTTTTCTTATTGATTATAATTATTTTTTACTTATCGAGGAAAAGTATATATATATATATATGATTAGCAACAAAATAAAGAAACTGTTGTAAATAAGTGTAAAACATAATGGAAATATATTGTTGCTGTTGATATAATGTTGTGTATAAAGCATAATGCAAGAATATATAATTATACTTAACAATTTAATCCTTTCGTTATTGCATATAACGAAAATATTCACTCGTACGTACGTTTTATCGCATGATATACCCATATATATGGGTCAGTCGGTCGTTCATATGGGGCCTTTGCATGAATGACTCATATAAGGATCGTTAATAACGAAAGGATTAAAATAACAAGATAAATAATAATTACTAATGTAAAGAAAATTGAAAAAGATGTACGCTGCAACAAATTCTCTATCTGTTACTAATCGCATATTCAAACAAGAAAAAAAAATACTCAAAAAGTGTATAAGATAACAACAACAAAAATGTATTTTATATTTAATTAGGTTTCGTAACAATTATTTTCAAAATATTCATTTTTTTCGAGTTCTTTTTTTTTAATTATTCACATTGGTATTTTAAGAAAAAAAAACAAAAAACAAAAATTTGGTTTTGTAATAACAAATTAAAGCATGTATACATTTTTAATGAACTTAGTGTACATTTTCTTTTTTTTGTTTAGATATCAAAGTTGGTGCAATAGAAATATATTTTTATACTTTAATGCAAGTTGTTATTTGTAACAATATTGTTATTATTTTTATTCTTTTTCTTTTAAAGTAAAACAATTGATTGTTTTTAAGGATTAAATAAGAATTATCTAAAAATAATGCAATTATAAGATTTTTAATATCACAGGTAGAAAACAAGTATATATATATATATATTTATATATATACATAGATACATATTACGATAAAATCCAAATACAATGCAAACTTATATTACTACCTCTTATTGTACTTGTTTGTGTGCATAAGTATTTTTTTATAAATACGTTAAAAGAGCATGATATGACAATGTTATAAAAAGATAACGACAAGAAAATCCTTTTTTTTTTTCTTCTAACGTAGAATCCATAATTTTTGATTCATCTTCGCACTAAATTTAATTCTAATTAATTTCTATTTTGTACAATGGATATTTAAATTTGTGCATGCTAATATTAAAAAAAAAGAGTAAATAATACATTTAATATACAATTATTGGTTATCTGTTTATCGGACTAAATTATTTGATGTATATATAAATACATACATACATCACTAATACGCTAGAGTATAATAAATACTCTTTTCATACTTTGTTCCATTTTGTATATGTACATAGAAAAATATCATCGCTTGTTACATTCAGACATTTTCTGTAAAGTGAGGTAACTTTACGTAGCTGACTGCTTATAATTCTTCGTACTCATAAGCTTCTTACCACACATGGCGCATATAGATTTTTTGTAAGCGCATGACTGACAATAGTGCGAACCAACTTGATGAACTTTCTGTCTACATATTTTACAAGTCTCAAATTTTGCAGTGTATGGATTGAACCGAGCTTTCCTTGCTGAAAGAGCTTTGTTTTCTCCAATTTTTCTTCCACCACCTTCCACTGTATTTCTGGCACCAGATTTCCATGGATCAGGTGTAATTACTTTTCCCAATTTCTTCTCACACTTCTCGCAAACCATTTTGATCGATTCTTGTTATACAAATAATCAACAGATTTGAAGATCTATCAAGAAAAAACAAATCATTTTTTGGTTATTTTTTCTTTTTGTTTAGGTTATGTTCTCTCTTTTTCAAAAAACAAATTTTCACTTCATACTTACGATTATTTATAAATGTTGTATGTTTACGTAGATATCAAATTCACCGAATTGAATATAAATGTAAATATGTGTATTTATTATTTGTTACAAATTTATTAAAAAACAAACATACACATATCTCTTACCTCTATTAGGTATGAAAATAGTGCAACCTGATACGAATGAACGAGAAAAGTGGGGATAGAAAGTTCAACCAATCAACTTCACAGAAAACTTGTGTAATGCACCAATCACTGCGACAAATTCGAGACGATAACTGCACTTTAATTAATTTTGTTAATGTATGATATTTACTAAAATCTATTTAATATAAAGATTATAGAATATTCATAGAAGTAATAACTATCATTCATTTCTAAAATGTGATGGATTTTATATTATATTTGAAATTCTACCAATGAACAACGAGTATAAAAAAATATTCCATTGCTGATTGGTTCATCTTATTTGCCATAGTTTATGCCCAAAGCATATAGTATCGAAATAAATATGACGTTAAAATCGTAAAGAAAAATTTAAATAGGAATGTAAAAAAAATGATATAGAAAAGTTAGAAATATTAATAAAATAAAAGTATAAACAAAATATTTGAGGGATGTACCGGAAGATAAAGAAGGGAGACAAGATAACAGCAAATCACAGAAACGCTTGGCAAGGTAAATGAAGAGATAGTTGGTAGGAGGCGTTGGGGTCGCCATATTTGATGGCGCGAATGGGCGTGAATTTAGCCGATTCGTTAGAAGAGGATGAATAGAGAACGAGCAAGGGTGGGGATAGGTCGTCTCTCGGGTGGAAATTTCGAGGACGTGAAAGGCCGTGTAAAAGGGGGTGGCGCGCATTGGTGATAAAGAGGCGCCATCTATTCGTAGAGTACCCGGCCACCCTCGAAACACCCGTCGTGCATAAACCGCGCTCGTACTTTCCCGTATAATTGCGGCAATTCAGTGGCAGCCGATCGAGCCAGTGCAACCGTGCCTTAATAAAGTGACCAGTGTATGCCTTTGGGGAAAGGAGATAGATAAAGGTAAATAAAATCCTTCTTATTTAACAAAAGTATTCGATCAATTGTGATTGTCGTCTACCCCTTTTGGGGAAGAAAAAAGAAAAGACGAAAAAAAATCTGAAAGAAAGAAAGAGAAAGAGAGAGAGGGTGAGAGAGAGAGAGAGAGAGGAAGAAAATGTTGAAAGAGGCGTATATAATAGTTGAACGTTGCTGTTAAGGGTTCGTTTTAATGACCTATCTACACGACACGCACGATGTTGCAAGTCCTAGGAAAGAAAAATTCTGTCTTATATCGGTTAGGCTGATTCAGGGCCCCCCGATGTCCAGGGGGAGAGAGAGATATATTAGCGCGTTGGATCGATTCCCTTGCTCGACGACGGGGGAAACACGCGGCGCTCTTTGGGGGTTCTAAAAGGAAGCTTACCAACCAAACTTCTCTTCTTTGTCGTTACGATAATACGAGCAAAAGAATATCTATTGAAAAAATCCAAATAAAAATCTTTAAATGTCAGTATTGCGTCAAGGTTTCATTCTCTCAGTCGTCGTCGTCGTCTTCGTCGTCCTCGTTTGATTTCTTTCCCCAAATTAATAAAAAGACATTTTCTTGCCCTTTTTTTACTTGTATATTACAGTCTCGTCGTCAATGGAGACAGACAACCCTTTTATTTTCTTCAATAATTTACTACTTAATGTTCTCGCTTGTTTTATTTTATTTTTCTTATTGTTGTGTAAAAAGTGATCGTTGTATAAAAATATGTTTATTGTAAAATATATATATATATATGTATATATGTATATATATAGATAGGTGTTTCTGACTTGTCAGTTATGAATTCGATGTATTACTGAATGGTAGAGATGTCAATGCGCGATTCCGCGAGTGTGACGCGTACAACGAACAAAGGAAGATCGAGGTGTCAAGAGTGACAGCATCATTCTCTCTCTCTCCCTCCCTCTCTCCCTCTCCCTCTCTCTCGTTCTGTTCCGATCGACGCGTCACTCGATTCACGAAGTTGTCGCATTCGACGTTGAATATGTGTTGCCTCGAAACGGGAAATAGTCTTTTTCTCTTTCGACATGGTGTGTGTTAGTCGTCTCTTTTGCATATTATTTTACATCTAGGAAAAAAAAATATTGTAAAACCAATCATCCACCTAGGGGAAAAAGAACAAAAAATGAGATCGACCATCTGTCTCGCGAGTACACAAAAAATTTATTCCATTTATTTTTCTTACATTGTCCATAAATGTTGTTAAATATTTGGAATTTGATCGGATTGAGATGTTACGTCAATAAAAAAAAAAAAAGAAAAAAAAGAATTTGATTTTTTAAAACAATATTTTAAATAACGCAGAATTTTGTTCGTAAGTTTGTAAACGCTATACGCGTAGCGACGTAATAAATATGTATATGTAGACGACGATTTCCATGAAACGAAACACGATACCGCATAAGTATCCATATCCTTTCTTCGAAAACACATAGAGAGAGAGAGAGAGACACAAATGCATCTCCATATGTACATTAGGAAACGATGTAAGAGCGTGTAAACACGTTTAGTATGACTCAATCGTTGTATGCGACATATTTTTAGATGATCTTTTTTTATTTCCATATAATATAAAACTATTAGATTGAAATTGAATAATATACCTAATAAAACTAATTGAAATTAACTTTCTGTCTCTCTAGTGTCTTAAACTAATCAATTATTTCTAGAAAGACCTATCGTGGTTAGAAGAATTTTTATATCGATAAGGTAAAACCGTACAGTTAGTTAGAAAACGTGATTTACATTGAATTATTCATCATATTCTTTTTTATCCTATGATATTCGTTCGAATGTCGATAAAGTCTGTCTATCTTTGTCGCACAAATTGCTACCTACCTTTTCTTCTTCTTCTTCCTCTTGTTCGAGTTTAACAATAAAGAAGATCGACGTCTGTCAGCTTGAAACATAGATGCTAGAAAATAGAAACGGGGGAATATAAATCTTTGTCGAAAGTAAGCCAACTCTTTGCCGTCACTTTACCACCGTCACTTTGGATACATTTTCTCTAAGGGTTGTTGACTATATAGATATGCTATTTTACGTACAAGTGCAACAGAGTAAGATGTAAGTCATTTTATCCAGAACCAGAACCACCTACTAAAACCACCACGAGATTTCAATGAGTTCAAGGAGTTGATTGAAAACGATCGTTCCAGAACTGAAATACCAATCCCCTTGCTAATGTTCTATCATAGATAAATCAATGATTAAACTATGTTAATTTTGCGTATCGAGCATAATTGAACAATCAGTTTGAACAAATGAAAAAAAAAAATGAATAATTTCTTAGAGTTATTTTGGATAATAAAGGTATTTTTATTTCACCCTATATATCAAACATATATGTACAGTGTGACCAAAATGTTTTAATATTGCAAGTAAATTGAATTTACAAATATTGAACTATCGCTTCAAACAGAGTTACGGTTTCAATCAACGAAGGGATGAACAACTGCTAACGTCAATTAATTTAATTGCTATTCCGTAGATAAATACGTACAAGCTAGGGGTTGAAAGTTTCTAAGTTTGTAGTTTGATGATTTTGATAAAGTTTGAAACAATAGTAATTTAAAAAAATAATGTCACTATTTTTGGTCCAGCCTGTATTTGTACACACAGTTATATATATAGAGAGAAAGAGAGACACGTAGAAGCTTAGAACGGTTATTCTCCTCTAGCAGGAAAATTCGATGCTTTGGCTATTACCTATGGGGGTCTTACCCGTATCAAACCGTAATGGCCTATGGTGCGGACCAGTGACGGTCTTTCTCGAGTTTCCGCACGACGTGATCCTAACGGCGAGACTCAGCTACGAACCAAGCAAGGACGATGTGTTGCTCATCGTCAAACTTATCGACGAGTGAGAGAGAAAGAAATACAGAATATGAAAATATGAGAATATGGTAGAGAAAGGAGGACAAAAAAATATGAGATAGAACAAAAATACGAAACATGAGAATATGAGAGAGAAAAAGAGAAGAGGATATTACGAGATAGAAAGAAATACAAAATATGAGAAAAAGAGGAGGAGGGTTGGGAATATCATGAAATACAAAAAAATAGAAAACACGAAAAAGAGCGAGAGAGAGAGAGAGAGAGAGAGAGAGAGGGAGAGAAAAATAGAAGATAGTTCATATTCATGGTAAAGTTTTCATATATGTTCCAGTGGTTTTGGAATATTCGCTCTCTTCTCCTCCCTTACATAATTCTATCGATCCTTAGACAGTTAGTAGTAGCTTTCTGTCTGTCAAGCCGGCTTTTCATGATCCGCCTTGACGACTGGCGCTATTTTCGACTGTATTATCATCCGCGGTGTCGGTACAATGTCTCCTATCCGGATTAGAAACTTATTCCTCATCCGGCTTTCTCGTTACCAAGGCGACACTGTCATCAACGTGCTTAGGACTCATTAGAATCGACTTATAGTCCAGTTCTTTATTCTTAACAGTTATCCGATATCTGACACGAATTCTAAATGGACTATTCAATGGATCAGCCAATCAATCGGATTCAATCCGTTTCGTACCCCTTTTTTTATTTACGTTTATTAATCTAAATCTTAATCGATCGGTTACAGGAACTTTCATGTTTTTTTTCTTTTTCGAGGGCTAATTTAAAAAAAAAGAAACATGTGAAACAGATCACACGTGTTAGAAGTGAAATCTTCCAAAAACTAAGTTTCGAGAAAATGAGACGAATACAAAATATCTGCTGTAGGATAATTGTATTCTCTTCTTATTTAGTATCGCGGCCGTTTGTTTCATCGCCTCCCACCGCTCCGTTACATAGCCGCCTACCGCTCCGTTACATTTTTCAAATTACACCCATTCTAAAGAAGTTTTCACTTCAAAAAAGAAAAAAAAAAAACGGTGCCACATTGTGGCATTCGACGTTACGTTTTATCACGTTCAATCCCTTGTTTTGTTTTTTTTTCTTCGTGTCGTTTTATTCTTTTATCGTGATTCTCGTTACGTCTGTTTCTGATGCATGCAAACGACACAATCGTCTAATACTTTAACAACGTGCAGTTCGATCGGTCTTCTCGTCCCGATTTTTCAACGGATCGCGGTCGTCGCGACGCTCTTGGTCGAAGGGAAATAGCGGGTGAGTAAGGGGGTGGCTTTCAAGGGGTTGACGACGACGACGACGACGACGACCTCGTTGCGGCGCCGCGACGCGAGATGATGCGCGTCAACCACCTTTGTCTAATACCGATTTTGATTATGCCAATTGGTTGCATTCTTCTTTTCACATCGATCCTCAATCTCCTTCGATCAATAGAATTAATCAGGATTTACCTAATCAATGTACATCCGTGTACAATCTTACGCAGTCTATTAATTCGTATTAGCATTTTTACATTGTACTATTTTTAGGTATACATCATCGATATATAAGACAAGACTAAGAAAAAAAGAAAAGGGAACGAAATCATATCTTTTATTTTTCCACCTTCCCACCCCCATAGAACATTAATAATGCGTCACGAAATACAGGTGTTCGATCCCGTGTCTCGTGCTTCTTGTAAGCAGGGTTTGATACCGTGCCATTATATAGCTTCGAGTATTTTCCAGTTATGCGAGAACGCACGTATGCTAGAAAGAACGAGTAAGAGAGAGAGGAAAAAAAACTACCCTAACCTCTAGTGACACAACGAAAGTGGCGTTCGACGTTCGCAGTTCGATTAGCGCCTATGTTCTTCCTTCGTACGTGCTTTCTCCAACACGAACGACGACGAAGAACATCTATCGAACGATTTCAAGTTTATAAGCGTTAGTAGTCAAACGTCCTACATACATGCATTCACACACACACACACATAACCACAAACATACTTCGATTTATATATCCATGCAATCGATCATTATTAAAGTATTAGACTCCGAAAAGTACTTTTCCTTGTTTTCTAATAAACGTCTTAACGATATTATCACTGACGTCTTGATTTTTAACCGGTATATAATAGAAA